CTTCGAGAACATTCAACAGCTGACAGTGCATGCGCCGTCGAGCTGTATATATACTCAAGGTCGGCGCTCGCTCGCTCAGTTGCCGCTCGTCGGTTGGTTTGTACGGCGCGTCGACGTCCAAGGTCGCGGTGAAATGAATTCCAACGAATCCACAAACACAATGATCGACGTCCCTTTGACCAGCGCCGCCCTTTCGCATACGTGTGTACGTGTTCACTCATTTAACACCCCCTCCTACAACCACGTTAACCAATTTAGCCATCGACCCAAGTAAGTCGCAATTTAACACCCCATTTCACAACCACGTTAACCAATTTAGCCATCGACCCAAGTAAGTCGCACTTTAACACCCCGTTAACCAATTATATGCTCCGCATCCTCCTCAGTGTTCCCCCGAGGGAAGCTGCGGGCAATTTTTTTCCTACCCTTAACAATGCACAATAGATAGCAGTCTTTTCTTCAAGTACGCACAATGTGGGCTCCATGAAAGACTTCTGTCGATTATTATGCCCAGGAAACGATGTGTCCGTGCATATTTGACACTCTGCCCATTGATGTAAACAGGGTATGGCGTCATTTATTTGCGTGTTAGCGCCATCAACGCGCACTTCACAGTTGATATAGTTGGCCTTGTTTCTGAAGGTAGGCTGTTGTGAGGGTTGCTGCCCGCTGTATTCGTGCACGCACCTGAGGTCGAGTAACTGCAGCACTCCAGAGGCAAATATCATCGGCGTATATGGATAGGCACACCGACTTTGGCAGAACCTTCACCAGACCAATGAGGGCAACATTGAACAATGTGGGGCTTAAAACACCTCCCTGAGGTACTCCGCAGTAGGTGTAAGGTTCAGCAGTTGTACCCTCATTTGTTCGCACAAAGAAACCCCTGCCAGTTATATAATCTTTCATCCATTGAAACATTCGTCCACCAATGCCCATTGCTGTGAGAGAACTGAGGATGACATCGTGAGCTACATTATCATATGCACCCTTCACGTCAAGAAAGAGTGCCACTGATATGCGCTTGCGACTTTTTTCTTGTTGCACAAATGTCGATAAATCAAGGACACAGTCGATGGAGGAGCGGCCCCGACGAAAGCCTGCCATGCAAGAAGGATGTTTGGTGTATCGTTATAAGTACCACTCGAGACGAAATAGAACCATTCTTTCCATCACTTTTACGAGGCAGCTTGCGAGGGCAATAGGGTGATACGCTATGAAGTCCAATGGTGATTTCCCGATTTCAAAAGTGGTAATAATCGACTTATTTTCTATTCTCGGGGAACACTGCCGTGGAGCCAGGAGTTGTTGAAGCATGTTAAAAGTTCTTTTCTGGCTTTTTGTCCAAGGTGTCCCAACGCACTATAAGTAATACCATCAGGACCTGGCGATGACATGCGCTTCGAAGCGACTAACGCACCTTCCAGTTTTTCCATGGTGAATGGAATGTCCATTTCTGGTAATCACGTCTCAGGAACGATCACGGCGTCGATGCTCTCGTTCATAATATTCCCGGCAACTCTCGTGTAAAGTTCTTCAGCCACTTCGAGTTCTGTTTTTCCATGATGTAGTGCCAAAGCTTTAAAAGGGCGCCGTTGTTGCGGAGAGGAGCGAAGACCACGAACTGTTCTCCAGAATCATGACAGCGGTTTATGAGGGTCTATAGATTCGCAGAATGCTTTCCAGCGTTCGCTCTCCAGCTTGTAAATGCGTCGTTGAATCTTTTTCTGGAGCCGCCTTGCTTCCCTCAGATCGTAAATTGATCTTGTGCGTCTGTATCGTCGTTCAGCACGCCTTCGTATAGCTCGTAATGTTTCCAGTTCGATGTCAAACTGTGTATTTTTAGACGAAAATGGTAATTTACATTTGGACGCTTGCATAGCTTCCGCTATGGTATTTTCCAGGCTGCAGGCGAGGCCTTCTTGACAAGCGTCCTCAACAAGCGATGTAAACATCGACCAGTCAGTGACAATTACAACACCGGAAGAGAAATTCTTTATGATACCATCGATAGTCACGTAGCTGGGTATAAGATCACTCCCCTGAGTCTGAATATCGCAAAACCATCTAACTTTGTCAGAGAAGCACCGTGACACCAATGTCAGGTCAAGCCAACTGCCATACGTGAGACCACGCAGATATGTGGGGGTGCCATCGTTCATGATGGAAAGGTCGTAATCGGAAGCGAATGTAACAATGTTCCGGCCCCTGGCATTCATCGTAGTGCTCGCCCAAAGCATGTGATGGGCGTTGAAGTCACCGGTGATGATCCAGGGCCCATCGGTCCTCATTAGGATGTCTTTTATTCTGTCGCAGTCAAACCGCGATGACGGAGATATATATCCACCAATGAGCGTGAACGAAATCGCATTCTTCTTTACACGAAGACACACGTACTGATTGTCGTCATTTGAACTTATTGGGTGCGAAAGATAAGTCAAGTCTGTGCGAATGTAAACAATTACTTTGCTTCGTTCTTCGCAATCGGCTGAACAAAAAGCTTCATAACCGGACAATCTATAAGGCGTTGACACGTTTGGTTCACATATGACAAGTATAGGGAATCGAATGGCCCGAACAAATTGGCGAAAGTCCGAGATACGGGACTTCATTCCTCTGGAATTCCACTGAAAAATTGACGCACTTTTAACTTCAGTGCGGAAGATGAGATTATGTGGAGCCATTGTGCTTATACGACGTTAGCAAGAACTGGATTCAATGCATCCAGTATTTGCAGTGCACTCTTAGCAGACGGAGATTGTATGCTGCTCAGTAGTGTGCGAATCGTGGCAATTATTGATTGCACGATTGCAGTCACTTGACTGTCTTGGTTGGAAAGATCTCGAACCGGGATCGCGGATTGGCCGTCATGAACCTTCTTCGGTTCGCTTGATGCTGCTTCCTTTTGAAGGGCAGGGCACTCTGTCACAGTTAGGGTATGCTCACTGGCTTTGTCCTTTACAGCCTTTCCCACGGCATGTGGTCTGGGAGGCAAAGGAGGTGGTACTGATGAGGGATCTGGCAAACGTGTCGAGGAGGTAGCGGGCGTCTTTGAAGACTGACGTCGGCGTGAACGACGCCTTCTGACTTTAGCTGCGGCTTCTCGATGAGATGAGTGATCGCGCACCATCTCCTTCAAGATGGCAATTTCCTTCTGATTCCTCGGGCAGTCCTTCGATGTGGCTTCATGGGATCCATTGCAATTAGAGCATTTCTTGACAGTTGCGAAGCACTTATCTGCTTAACGGGGCTTGGCGCAGTGGTGGCATACCACCGAATTTTCGCAGACGCTGCTCACATGTCCAAGTTCCACGCATTTACGGCAATGGAGAGGCTTTGGAATGAAAGGCCGCAAAGCATGTCTGAAGTACCCCACCTTCATGTGAGAGGGGTGTGATGTGCTCCTAAACGCAATCTTCACACAGCGAGACTTGCCTAGCCAGGTGACATCATTAATTGGAGTATCAGTTGTTGACTTGACAAGAAATTGTAAGTCATTATTGGAAATAGCCACATCTATATCGTAGATCACGCCGGTTACTACATCACATCCCAAGGGAACATGAGAGCGCACCTGGTTGCCGTCCAAGACAGTTACACTGCGGAGAACGCCCAACGCACTTGCGTGCAAAACGTCCACAGCCAGTATATTCTTTGTGGCGTTCACTCTTATGTCCGTGATCTCTCTTATGTCCGTGATCACTCATATGTCTGTGAGCAGGCGTTAAGGTAATTATATGCCATTGGCCCTGCCCCTCTTTGCCACTCGGCTTCATCGTATACGGTGCTGACACACATAAAAGTCGCCACTTTCGCACGATAGTTAGAGATTTCGTCAGCTGTATGGTGAACAGCCAGATATGTCTTATATAAGAAGTTGTTTACGGTTAGGTAACGGTGCCATGAGAAACATGGGTATTACCAACACCAGGAGCCCTAAGATGAAACGCAGCGTTTGTGCTTGCGAGGACGGCAGCCCTAGATACGTAGACTAACTTGAATTGATAGCACCTAACTACAATTGGCGATAACCCCACATGAAGTCTGTACCCCTGAAGGCCACAAGTAGCCACCACTGCAGCACAAATTGACGTGTCACCAACATTACACCCGCATAAGATCTTTTTCTGAAGCCGTTTCGAAATCTTGCCTTTTCTTGTCGTTGAATACTCGATTGCCACGCAGAATGCTTGCGCTCGAATCCTGCTTGTACCATAAGATATCTTATTGGCATTCGTCCATTCAACACTGCCGGCATCGGTTGTTAATAACACACTCAGTTGAAATTACAAGTGCCTATCCTCGTGGTTCGTCGGTAGATGTTAACGCAAAAACAAGTGCGGTGCATATACCCGCATACCGCTGGCCGTGGTGTACGGGTAAGTGCCACCACTGTCTTTTCCACTCAGTCATATTCATCAAGGCCTGTTACCCTTCGCTTACTAATTTTGTCTACCTTAAGGTAAGGAGATGACTAGAGCACCGGGTGTAGGCCAATAGGTAGCCATATAGATAGATAGATAGATAGATAGATAGATAGATAGATAGATAGATAGATAGATAGATAGATAGATAGAAAAAGTCCTCAGAGAGTCTGAAGTACGCAAAGAAATGCTTCGCACTTCAAACTTGTTCAGAAATGAGGGGGCCTAAAAGGCGTTTTGCTGGTGTAAATATGCTTGTGGGTGTAAAAACGCTTACAGTGATGCTTCGTCAAGCGAACGTATTTTAGTCATTGGTGCAACCCATGTTGGGAATGCGCTTTTCGGAAAGGCGAAAATCACGTCTGTTTATGGGCCGTTTATTGTTTCCCGTTTTGCGCTGTACCACTCCAAGTGTGTGTGTTCACTGCTGCAGAAAGGCAAGTAGACAATCGTTTTATTCAGAAAAAAGGACAGGTCTTATGGCGTGGTGGCAATGATATCTCCGTGTTGACCTAACATACACCTGCATGGCAACCAAGAAAGGGCAAGACCTGAAAACCCCCAGGGGAGAGAAACCGTGCTAAGGAAGAACGGGGTATAACCCTGTAGTACTCTACTGAGAAATCCTTTGGGTAGCCAAGAGGTGGTTCACCAGGCGAGTGCTACGTTTTAGCAATTTTGTACAACTGCCGAATATATTTGCTTCTCGCTGCGCTTTTGACTCCTGTTGGGCTAGAAACAATGTATACGCAGAATGTTGGCCATACAGTCTGGGCCACAATGTGTTCTGGATCGCAGATTCTTATAAAGCTCTCTATGCATTCTCGAGCCGTGATTGGTGGAGAGTGAGCAGAATTTACACGTAGTTCGCAGCTGTCGTACCACTCTGAAACAAAAGGAAAGTACAAGAAATAAACGTGCGACGCCTCTTTTTGCCAGGCACTTGATGGTCCATATAGTTGCACAAACACTATACCAAAGACATGTGTTCTATTCATTTCAATGTCGTTTACCTATGCGCACATGGGGGTATAAGTTCTTTGGCAAAGTAATATATTCATTTACTTGCCAGAACTACGATATAGTTATTAAGCTGAAAGTCTTTGGGGTTCCGAAAATCTTGAAATGTTTGGCGGTTTCCAACGTGAACTGACATCCCACAATTTCGCTGCACCGTTTCGCCTTTATTGAAATTGAAATGCGACCAGGGCGACCGAGATTGAATCCGCAGACTGCGTGTCGAAATCCAAGCACCGTACCCACTCTAGCACTGAGTCAGACAATTTTCAGCGCTAATTGCCTTAGCGGAACGCATATGCAGTACTTTCGAAAACCTGCTATGGTGCAGGCTGTATAGTATATATGTATATATATATCTTTTCAGCTGTCACTTGTCGCCGTGTAAATAGTCTATTAGGCACCAGTCAATCTGTTTTATTGTAGATTGTAACCCAGGACACCCACTCAATATGTATATTTTCTTTGTTCTATTCAGAGAAGTGAAGAAAAAAAACAAATCTATTGCAAATGTACAATTGTTGTGCTTGAGAAACGAAAAATGCGACTGAATTGCAGTTTGACAGGTACAGCACATGTCATGTGGCACCGAGACAAGGTTTTATTTTAAGAGAAAGAGAGAGTGCTCTCATTACATCTATAGTATGCTCTGGTTTTTTTTTTCAACTTTACTTCGTGCTTGGTAGTGTCCTATGTCTGTATAAAGTAAAACGAGAACCCTCACACAATGTAAGAAGAAAATTCCTCACCACAAAATAAAACATAATAATTTTTCAATAGGGAGGCAGCATATTATGTGTATAGGGTTTGGCTCGTAACCCAGATGATTGAATTAAATGTTAAAAGACGACTGACTCATAAGGACGCAAATCAATGTTGGCCTATGAAGTTATATCCCCTTTCATCTATAATTGCATGACATAATATACACCTTACGTAAATAACCTACACCTAGAAGATTATCTAGTAAATAAACTATGAACATAACATCACAAAAATTCACATACAGCTTCACGAAGAAATAATCTTAGAAACGACGAATCTTGAACGAAAAACTCGCCAAAAACGTTCACATTGTTGGCTAACGTTGGACCTACTCACGGTTGGCGAATATTTGCTTCCGCACAGCAAACAATATTCCACACTTGTGCTCATCATCTTGGTGCACCAACTGCTCTGCACCTCTGTCAGCACCATCTAATTAAAAAAAAAAGCCCATTGACAGTAAATTGACATAATCTCACATTTGCAGGCCTGTTTATGTAAACATGCAAATTTAACGTGCACGTTTGTTCGGACAATAATTTCACTAAGTATTAGGGATAAAATTACATTCTTTTAAGCAAACGACAATGGAAACTAGAATCGCATGCCTGCACAGATTTAGGATCTTGCTTGGCAAGGTTGTAAAAGACATATAACCACAAACCATTATACCAGCCGGTGACTTCAACGCATTTTTTTACGCATCTAGTGACCTAGATTACTCCCTCTTCAGCATTCACTTCGTGAAGATGCGGGGATTTTGGAAAAAGTGACCTTTCCCGTACTTGGACGGCTTCTCTGGCATTCCTCATTGGGTATAATGGGCAGGTTTCTAAGAATGGGAGTGTAGTTGAACAGCTGCCAATTCCTCCTCTCGTTTAGTTCTTGTAGTGTTCACTAGATAGCGGCACCGTCTCCTGCATGTAGCCACCTCTCGTTTAGTTCTTTCAGAGCTCACTAGATGGCGGGACTTGTAGCTGATAATGAAAAGATGAAAGATGTTATAAACTAGACGGCGGTACTTGTAGTTGATGATGAAAGATGCGAGATGTTATAAAATAGGAATGATGTCACATATGGCACGTGTCATTGGTGGAAGGCAATCGTTCGACTTAGTGCGGCGACGTACGCTAGGGGGAGCATTGTAATAAAATCGAGTAGGCAAAATGTACGGAAGATTCATGGTTTACCAGGTTTTCCTCCAGAGCTTCGCCCACTCATCATCATTCACTTCGTGGATATGGCGGCACTTTTTTTTTTTTGGGGGGGGGGGAGTGGTGGTTGTTCGTTTTCTGCTCTTCTGCGTTTCGGTAAGCCTCAATTCCCTGAGGAGAATTCGCCCGCTGTGCTGCCAGTTATTGCGACAAAGTGTGCTGTGAGTTGCGCATCGCACATTTTCCTCTAAGACAGGGGTCTTGTAATAACCTCGTCTAGCGGGCTGCCACCACAAAATTTATCCCCTTTGAGCCGGGACAACGAAGGAGATCAGAGCTAAGGAAAGGAGGGCAGAGAGAGGATGGAGGTCGTACTCCTAACACACGGTAAGTTAACTTTGCCATTGCAAAGAATGCCTTCATATCTAAAAAAACTTGTAGTTGAGCTTTCATATATAATGTATATGCACTAATAAAAAATAGTGCACGAGCCTGAGTTGATTCACCTCCTTTATCCCTGCCTTACTGTTTGCTGTTTGATAAGCCTGCAAGTTTGGTTGATCTTCCCCTCTAAACTTTGGCGTGGCTTCAATAGAGAGAGTTGGGTTGAGTGAAAGACAGTGGGGTTAACCAGAAAAAGGTACCAATTCGTTACCATGCAGTGGGAAAATGAGAAATGCGAGAGAATGATAAGGAGAAAAACAAGAAAGAAAAGAGCTATGGCAAAAAAAAAAAACTGGCCCCGTATCTGCATGTTAGTCTACAAATGTCGTCGAAAGAGAGTGAACAAAACATTTATGGGATGTTCTGCGCAAGATAGATAGATATGTGGGGTTTAACGTCCCAAAACCACCATATGATTATGAGAGACGCCGTAGAGAAGGGCTCCGGAAATTTGGACCACCTGGGGTTCTTTAACGTGCACCCAAATCTGAGCACACGGGCCTACAACATTTCCGCCTCCATCGGAAATTGGATGTTCTGCGCAAGAAAATCGGCAAATGGCATTCTGGAGGCGCTGCGTTGGAGTGCCTCAAGCGTGCAGCGGAGGCGAACGAGCGCATCAAGTCACGTCACACGTGAGACGTGAGCGCCATCTGGCAGTTTTCTTAGAAAACGAAGCGCGTGGCTCTGAGATCGGTGTGCGCGCCCGTCTCAGAAGTGATAAGATGTAGAACGCAAGGCTCCACCACCGTCTCGTCTCAGCAAAGCGTTGAAAACACTCGCGTTTTCGTGCAAGCGTTGCATGGTCAGCGCAGCGTGATAAGCGCTACGGTCCCTAAAATTACTTATGTATGCCTTTACTAGTAAAAGCTGCACATGCTGAATATATACGAGTTGTTATGGTGCCCCAGACATGCACAATAATTGCTTTTTAATTGACAATTACACAAGTATGAACGCTAAATCTTGAGCAACATAGGTGGGTGCTGCGGATGGGGTCGGCAGTTTCAAGTATCCTGTGCCGTTAAGAGCGGACAAACAGATAAACGTACAGACAGACAACTAGACAGACAGACAGACAGACAGACAGACAGACAGACGGACGGACGGACGGACGGACGGACGGACGGACGGACAGACAGACAGACAGACAGACAGACGGACAGACGGACAGACAGACAGACAGACAGACAGACAGACAGACAGACAGACAGACAGACAGACAGACAGACAGACAGACAGACAGACCAATATTTTTGCGTTGAAGGTCCCCAAGAAAGACTATCGTCTTTAAAGAAATACAACGTATACACACGCAAGAACGGGATTGTCGCAGTCGTTTTGCGAGTCCCGTTGACCGTACGAAATTCAGCAGCGCCTTCGTCGCTTTCTGGTTGGAAGGTCGAATGTTGCGGCCATCTAAAATTGACTGCTACAAAAGCCGCCGATCAACGTGCCACGCAAACATTCCCAAAAGCTGTTGTGAGTGGAAGCTGTAATGAGGACAAAGGACGGAAGGACGTGGGCAATGATTTCGTCAAAGTGATCATACGTAGCACTGTCAGCCATTCAGACTCAATAAGGCAAATGTTGTGGTTAAGTGGCAGCATTTATATACTTAGTATAAAATGCTTATTGCCACGATCTGGTTACCGAAAAGCGGTAACTGAAAACTGTTCTGAGGCACCAGCACCTATACGGTTCAACTGACGACACCAATGCACCGAAGTACAATGAATTTCTTTGAGTGCTAGACACCACGAGTAACGACAATAAGCCAAACGGCCTTGTTACGTGCTTGGACGGTGATCATGCTTGAAGAACCTTGTTCGAGTTTCCACATTTTCCCAAATTTCTAAAGAACTTTCTACAAAGGTGCCGTAAAGCATTGGAAGCAAAGTTCTATATACTTGGAAACGCTTTATAAGGTATAACTTCTTTAAAGGTACCTTTCTGTGCAATAAACTATTTTTCTTCTTATGAAAGTGAGAAAGCACAACAGAGAAAAGAAACTTCGCGCCTCACCTGTTGTCTTCAGCAGCATAATTGCTGGTTCTTCTAGTTCACCAAAAAATGTTCCGACAAGACTCTCTGCACTCGGTCTACTTGTAGAGAAAAGAGTGGTCAGTAATGTTCCCGTGCGTGGGAGCAAATCAAAATATTATTTACATTTAATTCATTTAACACAGAGCAACATCCCTCTTAATTTTTCAATTTTCAGTAGCAATAAGATTGCCAGAGTGGTTGCCATTCCCCGAATCACGGATATAGCTTTTTTTTCAGAGGTTGACCTAGACGTACCTGAACAAATGAGTCACCTATGTCGGTGCGTCGTAATAATATATCACCGCCATGCAAATAGTGCCTGTCTTTATTATACATTACCACCAGCTCTGCAAGATATAACCCTTGAATTGATAGGCTCTCATGCTAGCAATCTCTCAGCAGTGCTCTTTTGGTAACTATTGTGTACTTTACTTCATCTCGTTATATATTAAAGCATTCAATGAGCATTGCTGAAGTGATGCTGGTTAAGCGCATCTTTTCCAAGAAGCGAAATTGCAGGCGATGTATGAAGACAGACTTCGACTATGCCCACCCTTCTTGTCCTGGAGTGTAGCTTCTTTTGAAATACACTTGAGTGTCTGTGACATTAATGTCATAGTCAACCTTGCACAATCCTCGGCGTGTTTCAGACGTGGCCAAGACAGTATATATGCCTCCTGTTGTAGTGAGAAACTGTAAGTCAGAAATAGCAGTGCTTGATATATCAAGTTACACACCGAACGTTAGCTCAAACGGAAACAAACGTTTCATCATTACGCTAGGATTGAGTCACAAAGATCCGGTATTGTTTGTTTGTTATTGCTTTCGACGAATGTCTCTATTGTTCATTACAAAACTAGTTCGCGCAGGCTTTGTATGTGGCTTGTTATAACAATTTCCCTGTGGTGTCACCAAGTGTTCCTCTAGAGCACCAGCTTGGCCTTACGACAATCGAACGCAGATTTCCGCAATTACTTACGTCTGCAATGGGAAGTTGGCTACTGCAATTGCAGTGTTGTTTGACAAGGTTGTAGGCTTTGGAGCAGCACACAAGCATTTAGAGTGACAGCCTCCCAGCATGTACTTCACACACTATGGGCGGTCAAACTGTCACTGAAACTTTGGCCCTTTCTGCCCAAGAAAGATGGATTTATTTTGAGGACATGGCTATAGAATCAATGCACATGACTCCACTGTCAGAGTGCTTGATGAGATGTCGTCAAACGCTGCTCTCCGTGTCGTCTGGTAGTGTGTTAGTCATCATACCAAAGTATTGCATCGTTCATCATCATACTAAAGTTTTCATCGTTATCAAGCCCCACCGTGGCCGCCAGAATCATGGAAACTATTCGCTATGTATGATATTCAATGTAATATACACTTTTTTCGTCTTTCGCAAAATGTGTTGATGAAATTTATTTAACAAAGATTTCACTTCCAATCTCTTCGCACAGGGTGTATGAGCTGAAATGTAGAAAGCAATATTTTATGGTATTCAAAAAAGTATTTCTTTAAGGACTAAAGCCATGAACTGTCAGATGTAACACAATAATATTCATGTATGCTTACCGTCTTAAGGTTCAAATGCTCCTTATATTCTTGCGGTACCCAACTTGTCTTTGCTTTGACGAAGGAAATACAGTAAACTACACTCATTACTGTTAAAAGCTCCATATTGCTCCCAGAAAAGCGGAAGTAACTTACGTTATAGAAGCACTTGCATTTGAAGCTGTTTGCATTGAAATGCCCGTTCTACTATATGTGCTATTATATGGAGTGTTTTGACATTGCTGAGGCACGCAGTGATAAGCCTTTCGAACATATTATGCAGGCAAGCACAACGAATGCATTGTTCTTAGTACAATGTTCATTGTGCTGAAGCTATTGTAGGTTTGTCTGTGTAAGATGGACCTTTCAAGAGCCAAGTATAAAATTCTTAAGTGAGACTACCGACCGTTTAAAAAGAACAGCTGAATCCGCCCTGCTGAACCACGCATGAAAAAGCGTTGTTGATCGTAATTTTGATTTTCAGTCTTATAAACAGTCGTGACATGCTGACGTGTTTATTGTGTTTTCAGGCAACTTAAAAAAACATTCATTATACGAAACACCTCTCCGAAGAAATAGAAAAAATTGTGGAACTCTCAAAACTACAACGCAGGACCCCCGGGTTTTGCATAGTGCAAATTCAATAATAGTCGCATTTTTTTTTGTATCTAACATGAGCTATGATAGGAGCAGTGGCAATTAGCTTAAGTTAAACGAAGCAGTAGGTGAAAGAACTGCAGGTGAGGATTCCAGGGCCTGGCTAGTGTCACAGAACGAGCGCTAAAAAAGGGCGCGACGCCAAATTCTTGCGATAACGGGCGGGAGAAACGCCGCGAAGTCAAAAGAAAAAAAAAGGAAAGAAAAAAAAAAACAAACGGCCAAGGCTCCACGGGCGCGCGCTCTCCCCGCAGAAGCGTGGCTTCATCGACGAACCTCCTCACCCCACAACGGCGGCCGAGCAAGCACTCGATTTTCCAGAACGAAAGGGGCGTGGTCATACCGAGTTGACTCATCGGCCGGGGAGGGCATTCCAACCGTCTCGCCCTCTTCCCAGCTTTCGCTGCGTATCGCGCCGACGAAAGGACGAGAACCGTCTGGAATGCCGCGCGCAAGGTATTTAACCGAGCAGCCGAGATGAGAGATCAGGAGGAGGCGGAAGTGAGCGCCAGAGCGCGTAGGGATTCCGCCGTGTAGTCGGCGAAGGTTTTGGTCCGAAGGGACGAAGCCGGAGATGAAGAGGATTTCCACCTGAGGGGTGAAGGCTCGAGCTACAGGCAAGAGCGTGTGTCTACCGCTATCGAGCGAGGACGCGTGGCAACAGCTGCGTGTGTGAAGCCGACGTGTTCGGGCGAAGAAGTTTGAAGCTTGGAGAGTGGCCTATTGAAGACGGGAGGTTTCCTGGAAGAGAAACTTCGGCGAGGTTTCCTGGAAGAGAAACTTCGAGGGCGCGGAACGACAACAGCGCTGGGACTTTGAGTGAGTGATTCTCGGAAGAGTATATTCAGACTTTTGTTCCAAGGACTTTGGACTGAATAGGTTTTATATCTCTTTAGTCTTTAAGTGTCTTGGTTGTTCAATGCATGCGACTGCATTGTAGTGCGTATTGTTGTCTGTGTCCGTTGTTTCAAGTGTGGTTGATTGTACTGTGTAGTACGTCGTTTGTTTGGTGACGTATTGTATGTAACTATTGTGGAGTGTGCATTCTTGTGTGTGTTTTCGATCTGCCATTTTTGAGAATATAGTATTTGTTTTGTTTATCAACTCTCGGCTCTGACTTGTTCTTTGGGCCACAGCCGGCGTCCGCTGGCGCGCCAAAAAGGACCACTTCTAAATTGTCCACGCTTTCGTGGTGCGGTTCGGAGGGCCAATACTTCGGCCCTTGGAATTAGCCCGGCGATCGCCTCCCTAATTAACGGGACCTGTGTGACAATTAATCTGGCGTCCGCGACATAGGACCTTTTGGTGCACAGTGTGTCCAAAGTAGTAGGAAAGAGCCTCGAGTTGGTGATACTGCTATCGGAACGATTCTGTGTGTTGTTCAGTGTTCTCGTTAACGAGTGCAGGGGAGTGTTCCGATAGACTGATTGAGGCAGATACTTTTTGCACGCGGCAAGGTTTTATTTGCTAGTTACGAGACAGAATGGATCTCGAAAAGTTAGTTGCTCTTGGTGAGAAGATGGGTCTTTCTGGCGCCGAACTACGGAAGTGGGTAAGCCAGAAGGAGAAAGAGGCGGCGGAGAGAGAGAGGTTGGCAGCTGAGAGGGCCAAGGAAGAAAAAGCAGCTGAGTTGGAACGAGAGAGGTTGGCAGCTGAGAGAGCGAAGGAAGAAAGAGAGCAACAATGGAAGTTGGAGCTGGAGCGAGAGAGGTTGGCAGCTGAAAGGGCGAGAGAAGAAAGAGAAGCGGAGATGGCTGAAAGGAAGCGGCAGCGGCAGCACGAGATGGAACTCGAGCGGCTCCGTTTGCAACAGCGAAGTGAAACTCCGGTCCAAGCTAGAGTTGAAAGCAGCGAACGGGAAGATCACGGCTTCCGCTTGAACCCAAGCAAGCTGCTCGTAGCGTTTGATGAAAGGAAGGACGACCTTGACGCGTACCTTCACCGATTTGAGACGATTGCGAAGAGCCAGAATTGGCCGGAACATCAATGGGCAACTGCTTTGAGTACTTGCTTGAGTGGTGAAGCGCTCAGTGTGTACGGTAGGCTGACGCCGACCGATGCAGCCAACTATGCAAAGGTGAAGCTGCTTTGCTGAAGCGATTTAGATTTACCGTGGAAGGATTCCGGGACAGATTTAGAACAGGAAAGCCAGCTGATGGGAGACGGCTACGCAGTATGCCGCCCGACTTTTCCATTATTTCGACAGATGGATTGAACTTTCAGGGACAGCACAGGAGTACGATGAGCTTAGAGAGCTCCTAATTAGAGAACAATTTCTTACTAGTTGCCACCCAAGCCTCTCGCTGTACTTGAAAGAGAGGAGAGCTAAGTCACTTGAAGACATGCTTGAATTAGCTGATCAATTCTTGGAAGCGCAAGGTGGCACTAATTTGGCCAAGGTCAAGAAGGATTGTCCCGATGATTCGAAGAAATTGGCTCCCGAAGAAAAGAAGCGTGCACCATTCCGCGATGTTTTCTGTGCAACCGAGTGGGTCATCGCGCGAAAACTGTCGAACGATCTTTACAAGCCCTACGGTTGTAAAATGTTTCAAGTGTGGTCAGACTGGACACAAAGCAGATGCATGTCGGAACGGAGTGAGTCAAACTCACCAGGTATCCTGTGTGCAAGCGGCACCGAAATCTGATAATAATGCCGTCACTGATGGATTCGTAGAATTGAAGAATGGGGAGAAAATTCCTATTGTGGGTGCTGTAATGTCAAAACAGCCAACCGGTGTTACGAAAGGAATGCCAACGCTGCCTGGAAAAGTTGCGGGCAAAAAGATTACGGTGTGTAAGAGATACCGGCAGTTCCACTGTTATCGTGCGGAGAAATTTGGTACGGGAAAGTGAGTTGACAGGCAGAACGAAGCCGGTTTGCTAATTGACCGTACGGTTCGGATGCTTCCCGAAGCAGAAATTGAGGTTGAAACCCCGTACTTCAGCGGGAAGGTTACTGCTTTATGCATGACGACCCCCCCTGTATGACCTTGTCTCGGAAACATCGACGGGGCGCGAGGGCCAAGTGATCCAGAATGTTTGGGAGAAGACCCGAAGATAGAGCCCTCGCCAACACAGCGGCCGCGAGATACAATGGAGGAGCATCCCGTGACGGATCTCACTAGAGCCCAAGGGGAAGCTGCGGCGCAAGAGACAGCGATGTATGAAGACAGAATTCGACTATGCCCACCCTTCTTGTCCTGGAGTGTAGCTTCTGTTGAAATACACTTGAGTGTCTGTGACATTGATGTCATAGTCAACCTTGCACAATCCTCGGCGTGTTTCAGACGTGGCCAAGACAGTGTATATGCCTCCTGTTGTCGTGAGAAACTGCAAGTCAAAAATAGCAGTGCTTGATATCTCAAGTTACACACCTAACGTTGACTCATACAGAAACAAACTTTTCATCATCACGCTAGGATTGACTTACAAACATCCGGTATTGTTCGTTTGTTATTGCTTTTGACGGATGTCTCTATTGTTCATTGCAAAACTAGTTAGCGCAGGCTTTAAATGTGGCTTGTTATAACAATTTCCCTGTGGTGTCACCAAGTGTTCCTCTAGAGCACCAGCTTGGCCTTACGACAATCGAACGCAGATTTCCGCAATTACTTACGTCTGCAATGGGAAGTTGGCTACTGTAATTGCAGTGTTGTTTGACAAGGTTGTAGGCTTTGGAGCAGCACACAAGCATTTAAAGTGGCAGCCTCCCAGCATGTACTTCACACACTACGGGCGGTCAAACTGTTACTGAAACTTTGGCCCTTTCTGCCCAAGAAAGATGGATTTATTTTGAGGACATGGCTATAGAATCAATGCACATGACTCCACTGTCAGAGTGCTTGATGATATGTCGTCAAACGCTGCTCTCCGTGTTGTCTGGTAGTGTGTTAGTCATCATACCAAAGTATTGCATCGTTCATCATCATACTAAAGTTTTCATCGTTATCAAGCCCCACCGTGGCCGCCAGAATCGTGGAAACTATTCGCTATGTTTGATACTCAATGTAATATACACTTTGTTCGTCTTTCGCAAAATGTGTTGATGAAATTTATTTAACAAAGATTTCACTTCCAATCTCTCCGCACAGGGTGTATGAGCTGAAATGTAGAAAGAAATATTTTATGGTATTCAAAAAAGTATTTCTTTAAGGACTAAAGACATGAACTGTCAGATGTAACACAATAATATTCATGTATGCTTACCGTCTTAAGGTTCAAATGCTCCTTATATTCTTGCGGTACCCAACTTGTTTTTGCTTTGACGAAGGAAATACAGTAAACTACACTCATTACTGTTAAAAGCTCCATATTGCTCCCAGAAAAGCGGAAGTAACTTACGTTATAGAAGCACTTGCATTTGAAGCTGTTTGCATTGAAATGCCTGTTCTACTATATGCGCTATTATATGGAGTGTTTTTGACATTGCTGAGGCACGCAGTGATAAGCCTTTCGAACATATTATGCAGGCAAGCACAACGAATGCATTGTTCTTAGTACAATGTTCATTGTGCTGAAGCTATTGTAGGTTTGTCTGTGTAAGATGGACCTTTCAAGAGCCAAGTATAAAATACTTAAGTGAGACTACCGACCATTTAAAAAGAACAGCTGAATCCGCCCTGCTGAAGCACGCATGAAAAAGCGTTGTTGATTGTAATTTTGATTTTCAGTCTTATAAACAGTCGTGACATGCTGACGTGTTTATTTGTGTTTTCAGGCAACTTAAAAAAACATTCATTATACGAAACACCTCTCCGAAGAAATAGAAAAAATTGTGGAACTCTCAAAACTACAACGCAGGACCCCCGGGTTTTGCATAGTGCAAATTCAATAATAGTCGCATTTTTTTGTAATCTAACATGAGCTATGATAGGAGCAGTGGCAATTAGCTTTAGTTAAACGAAGCAGTAGGTGAAAGAACTGCAGGTGAGGATTCCAGGGCCTGGCTAGCCCCAGCCGCTTGGTGGCTATTGACCGGGATAGTTTGCTGTCTTCACAGAGGCAGTTGAGCAAATTGTACATTTAAGCTCAATCGCAAGTCAACTGTAAGTGGCCTCGGCTGACTCCGTCATATGTTATTTGCTGCGTTGTATGAGTTCTTGGTTCTTCCGCACTAGGACATCTTACCCCTATCTGTCAGGATGTATATAGTACAGTCTGTGTAATTTAAGCCACCTGCCAGTCGATGAACAAACAATACCGTACTTCGCTTGGCACTCACTCCGGTTCTCATGAGGCAGAGTCACATTAGTACTATCCAGGCGATGCTTATGGGGCGGTCAAAATATGAAATTTGAAAGCATACTAGTTGTGATAACCACGCGGTAATTAGAGCTTTACAATGTTTAAACCTGAATGTTCATTGACTACACATTGATAGGTGGCTGGTGCCCAACAAATGTCTGTGTTACGTTATCTGTTATACTAACTTAGGCTCTAAACAATGCGTGTAACATATCACTGTATTTCAAGGAACTCTGCGACGCTTTGAGTATGGTCAAATGTGGACGCCCATTGGTAGTCGAAGCACCTCAGAACATGTGCGCCAAACTTTGAGTGCCCTAAATGACAAGAAAACTGACAATTACAATAGAAAGACAGTGAGGCGTTGCTCGTTCTTTTCTCAATGACGTAATAATCCCAAGTGACCACGTCATAAGCCCTAGTTTGACGGCCTCATCATGATTCGAGCAACGTGCGCTACATCTATTATTACCGCGGTGTTCGGCCGAGGTGCTCTGCTCGTGGCGTGACATGGCCGAGGGCAAGTTGTGAAGACGGCGATCCGAACGTAGCTTCAGGGATGCTTTGTAGCGGCAGCAGGTGAGAACTCGCAGCATGCTGGAGACTTAGGGGACCGGAAAGCACTCTCCACCACTTGTAAGGCAACGTTGAGAACGCAAGTTTTCTATTCGCTGAGGCTGAGCTTAAAAACCAAGGCCAGCGTGGCGATAATTAGCATGTACAAATCAGTAGATGAAGCGCATGAATATTGCTCAGACGGGTAATTAGTGTGAGCACTGTTCAAGCACTCATTCTAATCATATGTACGTACTAATCAACACCTCGCTGGCCTGGATTGTGGAGCTCAGTCTCAGCGAATAAAAGAAGAGTCTTGCGTCCTCAACGTTGCCTTATAATCGCCTCTCTTCCTTCTCTATTCCTTTACTATACTATACTATAAAACACCACGTTAAGTTTTATCTTTTCACCTTCACCATTCTCTCATGGTAACCCCGCTCCTTCCTTTCTCACTTCTTATTATGAAAATAATAGCATATCATAGACATATCTAAGCATAGATAGTACTGCCACGCTATTTATCTTTCCCGTCCACTAATAACTTCTTTTTTTAGGAACGAGCTAGCATTGATGATGGCTCTGCTACGCCTTTTGATTTTAATTAAAACAAGGAGAGATGAGGGTTGCTCTACCGAGCGTGTGATGACGAGTAAGTCAGTCAGAGGGTTCGAATACTATCGAAATTTCAAACTCCACCTTATACAACTATTGCAATTAAAAAATTGTGGGAACTTGCACTAAGCCGTGGAGGCCTTGTGAGCGAAAAGCCGGATGGCTTTGAAGACTCATCTGGTTGCTTTGAGGTTGTTCCTGGCCTTACTGTAGGTAATGAGGTTGATTCTAGGTTGCTAAATCATTTCAAGCTTTTAGTCATGGAATGATTGGTTGATTGGTGGTTGTTGTTTTTTAGTGCAGGAAGGGTTTAGTTATGAGTCACCCAAAATCTCAGATACAACAGGGCTCGTCATCTTCTACGTTGGTCCTCCATAGTTTCAGAGTCTCGCAACGCCATTGCCTGTCCCGTATTTTTGTCGTACGTACTGAGGGTATCCACTACGCCACCTCGTTTGACAGTTGTTTGTCGGGCTCAATGTTGCTTTCCTCATTCGTAGTAAAACTTGTGTTGAGCGAGATTTAAGTAGTTTGTGTGGCAGATGGCTGTTTATGGGGGCGATAGTTTACGCATGGGCCGCACACATTTATATGAAACATAACCGTTAGTTCGGGTAATCGTTGGTACCTTCATTTTTAGCGGAGTATAGCGGGTTAGCGGAAACCTGGAGACTTACAAAGAGGGTTCAGCTTAAATGGAGGACAACGCAGCGAGCAATGGAAAGAAAAATAGTAGGTGTAACCTTAAAAGACAAGAAGAGAGCAGAGTGGATTAGGGAACAAAGGGGGTTAAAAATATCATAGTTGAATTCAAAAAGAGGAAATGGACATGTGCCGGGCATGTAGCGCGTAGACAGGATAACCGCTGGTCATTAAGGGTAACTAACTGGATTCCCAGAGAAGGCAAGCGGGTTAGGGGGAGACAGAAGGTTAGGTGGGCAGATGAAATCAAGAAGTTTGCGGGTATAAATTGGCAGCAGCAAGCACACGACCAGTTTAACTGGCGGAACATGGGAGAGGCCTTTGTCCTGCAGTGTACGTAGTCAGGTTGCTGCTGCTGCTGATGATGATAATGATGATGATGATGAGCGGTTAGTAGGGGGTTTTACCTAGCTTCTTGATGACGATAACTGTTCGGCGCGGATGAAGAAAGAAATATTTACTAAACATTTTTGCGGTTATTGCAAAACATAACAACGCGAAGGGGCACCTCATAACATTCTGCGTGCTTCATATGCCCCTCCCCCCACCTTCTCTCACCGGAATACTTAGTGTAGGAATCTTTCCGTAGGTATCGATGGCCGCATGCTGGCTTTCTGCCTAATAGCTTTGCTGCTGAAGATGATGTTTAGATGTAATCTCTTGGATTGCCTAGAACCACCAGCTACCGCACTATTCCACCACCCTGGCATTCTTCTTGAGAGATTGCGCTGACGATCTCAGAGCTGCAATAGCAGCGTCGGTTAAACCAGCTAGCACATGGTGTGGCGCGAGCCAATGGGGCCCTGAACTAAGGACTCCACCCAAAGAGGATGATCCTTTCAGTATGTATGAATAAAAAGTTCTTTCTATCTCTCTCTTCCATAACACACTTTCAGGACTGTTTTCGCCCAGAAAGATTTTAATGACTCACTGTGCTCACAGGTTTGCCAGCTAGCCTCGAAACGCGGTTCGTTGTTAAACAGAGATTTCTTCAAGTTAATTTTCATGTGCCATAATAGCAGCAAAAAAAAAAAACAGCACTTTCTCGTAAAAAACAAAAACACCTGCAGCGATCAAAACGTAGTAAAAAAGAAGTACTGACATCGGGCTAGTTGGTGCTAATCTATATTGAATCAAAGCTCAGACAACAGTAACCACGCAACTACAATACGTGATAGAGGTTGTACATTGCGCAGTTGTATAATGTGAACAAAGCGTACTGATGTGCTGACGCAGTGGGTTATTCTTAAATCTTATTTTTTGAAGTTTTTGTACTACGTATGTTCTTGAAGCATGTTTACATAAAACGACGTTTCCTTCGCTTGTCCTGAATTCTTTCAAGGCTCATGTTACGTAACAATAATAAAAAGCAATAGAAACAGAGTTTTGTTGATTTATAAGTAGTATATATATCCATAGTCGGTCGCCTCATTGAATCAATCTGCTTAGCGGGAACATGTTTTATTGATGCTCTTACTTCAGAATATTATAAGTTTTCTTCGATAATAGGAGGCAAGTGTGAGCGCCTGGATCACTTATGTGAATGACTGTTTCCTTGCATTGCGTTTCAGACCGTCTCACCTGTATGTCCCAGCGTTCATAGTGTTGCGTTTAAAGTTGTAATAAACATGGGTTCTGGCGAGCAGGCTACGGAGTCAAGAAACAATAAAAACAAGAATCCCCTTAATACGAGGAGTGACACGGGCACCAAAAGGTAAGATCTTATCTTACTGAACGCCAAAGAACCCTTTCTCACCTATCACTCATGTCACAAACATGATCATCAAAAGAGGTGATAAAAACGTTTTGAGGGAGGGCACGTGTCCTTACATTTGCATTCTAGGATAACGCAATTTTCTGTAATACTAGTAAGGCATGTGGCCAGGTCAGTCATTGTTAATCTAAGATGGATTACAGCGCGAACCTAACGAAATGAAAAATACGGCAGTTTGGTAAGCTGGACAAGTTGATGATTTCTCATTGGCAACGGGGTGCTTCCAGGAATATAGGTCATCATTCTTTCCCTTCCCAAAGCCTGACATGTGTTGCCACAGAAAAAAAGCAAGTGTCAGAAAAGTAGGAACTATTGCAGGTGATTTCACCATTTGTAAGCTTAAAAATGAAATCATCGTGAAATAA